CCACCACCAGATCGTCAGCACCTTCATTATGGAGGCACCTGTGACAGCTCCGTAGTTTGAATACTTCCGCCCTCACCAACCATCCCCTTGGAAGGACAAGTGAACTTGAGCGCGGTCTCTACTTTGCCAATCGGATAGCCCAGAACGGCTCACCAAGGATGTAAAGAAATTCAAAACTAGTTTTATTACAAACAAGTTGAAGGGTTCTGTAGCCGTGGTGCGGAGATGGAATCACAGGAAAGTTGAAAGTTGTCTACGCCATTATCGCACATGGGATGGAAAATAGACGGCATACTGATACAGAAATCGCATTGTCCCCACCTTAACAGACGAGACTTACTTAAAATGCAAAAGTAACATCGATATTTACGGATCGTATATAAAAGAAGAAGGGGACGGGACAAAGTTAGAGACCGACGAGACACGTATCACCATCATTGTAGATGCCATCCAACTCGACATCATCGGAGAATCGAAGCGGTGCAAAAAGGTGCTGCACTTGCGAAGCAGTCACTACGTCGACTAGGTGATGCGATGAAGAAGTAGAGAAGGAGGAGATCTCCGATTCCGAGATGATTGGTAGACGTTGAAGTAGACTAACAGCATCCTCACGACTACCACAATAGAAGCCCAAAGCCAAACTCGGATCCAAGCGTTGAGCACGTATGACTCGTGGAGTGGAGCAGTGCCAAGTCTTGAGACACCGAAGAGGTAAATCAATTTGAATTGGTTTCCAAATAACCACACGTCCACAAGTACCTCGACCAACAAAAAACTCACCGACGTGTCAAATTCATCGTCATCAGACAACGAAGCAATATCAACAGTCTCCTGACAGAAATGCGGATCCAGATAGATGAGACGATCAGCTTGAAGACCAGCAACATAAACAGAATGTCGAGGACGTCCACCAATGAGACCAACGCAAGCAGGATCCTCCAGAAGACGAAGGAGGGTTGGCAAATGACCCACCTCAATACGATCACTCGCGCCCAGTCGCATGGGTATCAGGATGAGGACACTGCGTCTGCGCTTCCCCTCACTACTTCCATTTGCATCATCCATGGATGATGAATTTGCTGTCAAGGTGTTGGGAGCATGGGAAGCCGCCGACAAATCACCTTTACACGTGAAGAAGGCATAAAGAGGGAGCAAATAACCCAACATTAGGCATATCAGTTAAAATATGCTGTTTAGAGTAGTGACAAAGCGATGACAGTTGCGCCGTCACAATACCGTAAAGTAGGGGGGAGGGGGGTGGGGAAAAGAGATGCGCTCAACCACAAGTATGACTAAACGCCGTCCAATTGGTGGATTGGGTGAAATCGCTTGGCTCAAAGATAAATGCATCAAGAATTTGCAGTATCCTATGCTTAGGACATGAATAATTCAACGAATCGTTCCCACTTTGCGTACCAAAAAGGAAAATAGAGAGGTAAATCACAAATGTTTTGTAATCATGTTGTGTTGGATTAAAAAAAAAAAAAAA